TGAATGGAAACTTTTGCATTATTTTTATTAGTCACACTTACTGCTCCAATTCATGAACTCTACTGTGAATGCACTTCAAAAACAAATTAAAAAGAAATTTAAAAAAACTTACTAATTAAAAAATTAAATACTAAAAAATATTTAAATAAAAACCAAATAGATTTCCGTTTTAATAGTTGCTTACTAGTATTATTATTAATTTCTATAAGTTCAAAGAGTATGCATTTTATCACGTCGAACTATTGTATCTTTATTTCGTGGAACAAAAGAATTTTTGTTTGCGATAGTAAGAAATACTTTTTACAACAAATAAAATTGATCGGAAAACATTCCTTCTTAGTTTTTACTATTATAGAGTTTCACTAAAATAATCATAAAACCAAAATTTGTATAATAATACATGTACAATTTTTAATCAGATAATTGTAAAAATAAAAATTAATTAAAAAATTATTAACAAAAATTAATATCAATTTATCAATAATCAATAATATCAATAGTATCCTACACTTTTATAAACAGGCGTACATACTATATAGAAGTGTCACCAGTATTATATATTCGGATAGTCATCCCTCTAGTTGACGATCAGAGTTGTCTAAAATAAATAAATAGAAAATTGCTAATATCAATTTACAACATTCAAGCCTTTTTGGAAGCTCGCTACTTATCAGACTGTACTTAAAATATCGACTATAGTATCATATATACTCTTTTATATGCTCACATGATTTGACACCAAAACAACGATTTGACAATTTTTTCAGTATGATTGCAGGTGAACTAAGATTAATCACTAATTAATTAACTCTTTATGCTTCTATTTAGTTTTACTTTTTACAGTTGCGAAGTTGATATTTGTAGGTAAACACAAGTACTCATCCATATTCTTAAATCGTGTCATAGTATTTACTTTGCTATAAGAAACGAGAGATTTTCGCCAGACTAAAAGAGATTGTAAAATATATCGATGCCTTTAATATTTATACAGACTAAGTTAGTTTTTTCACAAAAAGGATTTATAAAGTTATCTATAGATAACTACACCATTCTGTTTTTTGAATATCCATAATAATAAACTTAACCAAACAATCAGTGAAACATACACTCATTGAAATATACACTCACGTAGCTAGTGAGGATTTAAGGCTGAATCGCTCCCGAAATGAATCGAAGAACTTTATGTTTACGTATGGATATTCGTTATGAATGCATTATACATTTTTAATAAGAAACATATTTTTAATTTACTGAAATCCTTACGAAGTAAATATCTAGAAAATGAAAAAGAGTAATTATACAAGCTGATGAGTTAGACAGAACTGGATCAAAAACTGCTTTCACAGACTCTTAACCGTTTTGTGGGTTTAACTGAGCCGGCTGGTGTACTAGGAAAACTTTCCAGGGCTCAGACAAAGTAAAGCACTGATAAAACCGTGCTCCTACAAAAACATTCTTAAATTTTTAAAATGTAATTTAAGATTGATAACGGGTTTCATTACAGGTCATTGTGACCTGAAATATCATTCAGATATACAGATTATGACTCGAAGGTGAGAAAACTACTACGCATATTCTTTGTGACTGGCCAGCTTTAATAACGCACAGGAGAAACTTGTTTTATATGGATTTTCTGTCACCAGAACAGATTAAGAGCTCTTCTCTAGATTTAGTTTTGGACTTTGTTCACAAAGCTTTAAAGGGCTTTGTGTAATCAATAGTAAAATTGGTACAACAGGACTCTTCTGGCTGTTGTATCGACTGTTGGGCGATTTCACGTCAAAACTTTAATAATAATAATTATATTATTAATTATATATCAATTAGTATACTAATTTTAAATATTTTTAGTAATAATTTTACAATTTTACTTTTTCTTTAACATTTCTCTATTTTTTATACGGAAAATGTTTTTTAAAATAGTCAAACCTTTTGAAACTAATTAAAGTGCTATGATAACAGTATCAGCTAACTTATTTTCAGTTTAGTTTAAGTTTTCCGTTTTAAAACAATTTTATTAGAATAAAAATCTTTAACTTTTTATTTCGCTGTACTTTTTGTTGAAAAGCATAGAAGCTTGAGGTTCTGACTTTAAAATTCCAGAAGGTGCGATGCTTCCTCACTCGAAACATTCGTATTCTGTGCATACGAGCACCAAACGTGTTCGAAATAATCATTAAAGAATTTATTTTTGCGCAAATTCTTTGGTGATTTTTAAAAATTACTTTTTACTTGTTTTATAGTTTAAAGCCATCTGGAAATGATAAATTTTCAACAGAATCTAACGCGTTCCGGATTTGCTGATCAAACAGAATTTTTATCCGCTTATCTGTTGGAATTGAAGTTACTTTTTCGCAAACGAGACCAACAAATCTATCTTCAGACTTCACTCTATTTTTATTTATTTTTATTAGCAATGAATTGACAAAACGAGATAATAAAAATACCAAAATCGCATTTTGATAGTATTCTCAGTACAGAATCGACAATTATTTTTATCCATTATTTACGAATATTTGGAATTCGAACTACAGTCGCAAAAAGTGTCGTAATTTTTATGTGTGATTTAATCTATTTTTCAGAATTTGCCCTTGAAAATTAAATATTTTTTCATAACAAAATCGTTGAAAAATATATATATTATTATCATCTACATATTATATATAATTTTTTCATTAAATAAAATTAATTTTACTTAATTAAACAAAATGGCACAAGTCACGCTATCGAATGTTGAACGATTGTTTAAATTACAAATTAAATTTAACCATTCAAATATTTTTAGTATTTAATTTTTTTTTTTTTGTTGCTTTATTTCGACATGTTATTACGTAATTGTTAACTTTCACATAATATTTCTATTACCGCACATGCTGACTTGAATCGAAGCTCACTACCTTTCATGCAGACCTCGACGTAGACTTCATTGCACTAGCGCTGCACGTTGTCTCATTCCACTGGAGTTGTTTAATTATTCAACGCCGTTGCAGCAAAAGTTATTACACATGCGTAAAGACCCGCTGAACGACGCGTGACGCATCTGAATTTGTAAATAAGATTCACATTAACAATTCACTTTTTGCAACTGTTGAAGTTTCTTGTTTGGGAGATCGTGCCGACATTTTTAATTAAAACATTCACACACATTCACACTTAAATAAAAACTCATACATTCCCTAAACCAGATAATAGTAATCGGATATAATTTAATGTATACATCACACTCTCGCTAATACGAACAATTATGTTCCAATTTTTTTACTCCTTCCAAATAATAGGTTTCCCCAAAATACTCAAAATAGACCCATTTCTTTAACACTAAAAGAGTAAAGAAATAGGAACTTGTCGTGGAGAGCTAAATTTAGAAAATATGCTAGAGGGCGTAGCAATTCGTAGCCCCATCTATAAATTTTTTACCGTAACGATTGCACACGAGTAATGTTTTGTTGTTACTTCTTTACGAAGAAACAGGGTTTCAAAAAAGAAAACTTTGATCCTATTTCCTTAAACAATATTATTAATCTCTGAAACTTAAGCTAAAACCCATTCGTCACAAAGACTAAAACGGTGTTATATCAAACTTTGTACCTGTAGATAAATGTTAGGCATACGTGGTATACATAAAACCTTAAAGCGATTTTTTATTTGCAGTTAGTGGATAGTATCAAAGCCACAGTGTAAGACTTGAAACTACTAAAATCACTACTTTATGGATGAGGTGGGCGCGGCTGCAACCCCATTCCCAGAATCAGAGGGAAAAGATAAAAGAAACATAGTTTTTGTGATTACAAATTTATCTAAGTTAGGGATAATCACTTAGTGAACATTAATTATGGAATATCATGGGTATTACCTAAAAACTGGGACTATTTAGAAGTATACTCTGTGAAGTTGATTGCGATATTGGCGATTGTACTGCAGAACTGAGTGGAGAAGCGAACCATTTCGTCGAAATTAAGAGTGATTTGGGGAGGCCTGTGGAAAATAGTTTGGGGAATCTTAGTGGAAACTTTTACTGCGTGCAGAATATCGGGTGGAAGATTGTGCCGACGGGCACAATATGCTGTCTCTGCGCGCCAGAGACAGTAGATGTTCATCGAATCTTTCCACTTTAGCGGTAGAGTAAAGAACTCGACAGGAGTTCTTACTCTACTTACTCGACAGAGTTCAATATACAGAATATATTGCCCATTGGGCTTGTAAACCTTAAAGAGAAATGTTGGTAGCAATATATATTAAAAGCATTTATATTACTTACGTGTGCACACGTGCACTTTGTTTTTGATTCGTTTTTGCTTCAAACGAATATTAAATCTTTTCATCAGCTCTGAATGATATTCGCCGATGAATGTTTTACTCTTTTTGAGATAGTTAATGTGAATGATAACGAAAAAGTAGCTAATTGTATAGAAAATTGATTACAAGAATTCATTAATGATTTTATAGTTTAAAATTGCTCTACTCTTAGTTATGCTTTTATTATAATCAAAACTTAAAAGGAAGTAAAAATCCATATCCTTATCAAAAATTGACCCATGAACAAAAAAATTAAAGTTCGAATTGCAGTCAAACATCACCAATAAGCATATGTAATTTTTACATATATGAAACAAACGAAGTGTGATAACAATAGACTCGCCAGATTGAGATTTTTCAATTTTGAAGCCCGAAATATCTAAATCTACACTATATTGACACTATAGCTGTAACTGTCTTTACGAAAATCAGTTGTCAAATCACACTCCCGGGAAATTCAAATTGCACATATGTTGAATTTCGTTATTTATATATTATTATTATTATGTTGATATATGCACTGCGACCTTAAACTCTATTGTGCCCTATTTATATATTACATTGCAATGAAAGATTTCAATTCGACCAAGACCAGAACTTGATTCAGAATTAACGGACCATTAACGGAATTAACAATATAAAACTAATTCATCATCTTGTCATCTTCATCTTATCGGTTTGTTCAAGAAAATATATTATATGGCCTATTATATGTATCTCTCTCCTTCACTGCGTTGCATCTTGATAATCTTCATATACCATTTCTTCATAATAATGTAAAGGGAATATTTATTTATGTCTAGAATATTTTATTTAATAATTTTTTAAGTAAAATATTTATATTGAACATCAATTTTAAAATTCTATCTACGAAATGAAATCAGTTAAACAATATTAATGTTTCTATTTTATAACTTAAAAAAGTATTGTATGTATAGTATTAAATATGTTTTCGCCTCAAAGTACATTTATTAATAAAAACAGACCCAAGTAATGTGAGATATATTGTCAAATTGCGTGCCAGGAAAATCGGAATTGTTTATATATTAAATTTAGTTATTTATATATTATATTGCAGCGAAATATTTCAATTCCACTAAGATCTGAACTTGATTCAAAACAAACGGACAATAAAACAAAATTTAATTTTGTCAAAATTAATACAATCTTTATCCTATCATTTTAAATGTATTTTTGCAAATAATGTTGCTCAGTTGGGATGTTGCTTAATATATAGCTTTTAAAATGAAATATTAAAATATCAGACAGCGAATATGAGCAATTCTTATAAACCTTTTTGTCCTATAAGCCTTAGTCATATTAATTACATTGTAAAAAGTCATTAAACCTTTTTACGTTTAATGATTACCAAATATCGTGAAATTATTCTTATCAATTGAAAAACAGTGCTTAATAATGATGAAAATAGTGCTGTATGCACTGATAGATATTTCTGGAATTATTTACTGTACCCTGTGCAAAGCAATCAATGTTGAATACGAGTATAATCTATATTTTTCTAAACAGCATAAACGATTGTAAATCATAACCATTCTTAGATCATGGAAATGGAAAAATATAGAAATATTTACTGAATACACGATTGTCTTCTTTATTCTTCAATTTACTCCAATTAAACATAGGACCTTGATAATTTCATCAAATCATTTGCTGTTCAGGGGTGAAGTACATGTTCTTCTCCAAGTTTTTAACAGACCACTAGGTTAATGCTTGCGTCGTGTATTTTATTTGAAAGCTTGGTCGGCAATATAAGAGTTTGGTTTTCTCTGCTTTTGACAGACCCATTGTGATTTATGTCTTCCAAATTTACGAGCATAATAAATTCATAAATAATTCTTGAATTTTTAAATTAATTATTCATATATTTTTCGCTCTAAAAAGCTAATTTTGTTTTTGTGAGTGCAGTGTATTCGACAGAAGAAGTAAAATTCAATTAGACAAGTTCAGGATTATTATCTGCACAATTAAAATGGATTAAAAAATAATTTGGTAATGACATAAGTAAATAAAATTTTCTTTTCTATAAAAAACAATTATTAAAGCTATTTAAGCTTTTTCAAAGTTTAAAAAGCAAAGTTATAAATTTTTTTAAATATTTTAAACTTGTAATTTTTTTAATCATACCTATATATATATATATATTTATAACAAAATTTATTTATAAGCATTATGCATTTTAACATACCATCAATATTTAAAAATCTTGTGTTCGCAAAAAGCAGCAAACTTTAACTCCATTCTTTAAGAGATTTTATAATACTTTATATATAACACTTCAATCACAATTACCACTTATGCTTTCATGAAAAATTAAAAATATTTTCTTCACATTTTCAGAATAATATTTATTCTCAAATGAAAACACGCAGACTTCGCTTAATACTAGGAATAATATTTGGTATTGTTATTATTGCCCTTTTGGGAACCGCAATATACTTCATCGTAAGAGGTGGTGACTTCGACAATAATCAACCCAAGCCCGAAGAAAACGGAATAAAGTTGGAGGATGTGTTAACTGGCCGCCTCGCACCAAAACGCTTTAATGGTAGTTGGTCAGGTTCTAATCTTATATATAAAGAGGAGCATGTAAGTGAACTAACTAAAAACTAAAAATATTTAATTATACTAAAGCACTCATGTCAACAAATTTTAATTTTTATAGTCGATTGTAGAGTATGACGTGAAAACAAAAAACCGAGAAGTGTTGTTACTGAATGGATCGCAGTACGTTTTATTTGAAAAATCGGCCGACGGGCAGTTCTTACTGCTCGCTAAGAATTATAGAAAGGTACGACTATTATTAAAACAGACATAGTAAAAAAACTATTTTATTTTACAGAATTTCCGATATAGTTTTGAGGCTGAGTACGATATATATAACATTACTTCCCGTGCAATGAATCCACTCAAAATTAAAGGTGAACAGAGATCACTTATAATGGCTCAGTGGGCTCCAGTCGGCAATGGACTTGTGATAAATTTCGAACGCAATCTTTACTACAAACCGAATCCATTTGCTGACGAAATTACAATAACAAGCGATGACAACTTTGCAATATTAAATGGTGTACCCGACTGGGTTTATGAAGAGGAAGTTTTCAATTCCAATGTGGCCACATGGTTTAATCCAAATGGTACAAAAATTGCCTTTATCAAATTCGACGACTCTCCCACCCATACCATTAATTTCCCTTACTACGGAGAGGCTGGCGATTTGCGTTATCAATATCCTTTTAATCGCCTAGTTGCATATCCGAAAGCGGGTTCATCAAATCCACGTGTAAGTCTCTTCACCGCAGACCTGGAAAGTGCTGTAAAAGGTTCAGAGTTTTTGGATCCAGTTCCTGTACCCAGTGCTTTGAACACAGAAACCGATTATATCATAACTGTGGTCGACTGGTTAGACAATAATAATGTTTTATCTGTTTGGATGAATCGTATACAGAACCTAGCTTATCTGCAAGTTGTTGCAGGAAGAAAACGTCTTGAGGTATTTAAATGTTTGTAATTGCTTATATAATATTTATATGTGTTTTATATTATATCTGCATAGGTATATGATATGGAATCAAAAACTGGCTGGGTTGATCTGTTTTCTACCCCGTTTAAGAACAAAGATGGCACGCGTATTGCTGTTATATTACCACAGGGGCAGGACGATGACGGCTATTTCCGACACCTTTGCATACTATCAGCAACAATTTCAAAAAGCAGTCCCGATATATTAACGAAGGGCAAATATACTGTCCAATCAATACTACATTGGGATACCACAAACGATATCATTTTCTATACCGCAAACACTGAGCAAAACTCAGAAATACTTCAAGTATACTACATTCGAGCAACAACTGGTCATACTCCAAAGTGTTTAACTTGTAAATTACATACTTCGGGTGGTGAGTTTAAATAATTTAAGCAAATTTATCGGTTATAATAATTTCAATTGACAATATTTAGATGTCGAGCAAAATTATTACTCAGCTGATTTCAGCACTGATCATCAAATAGTTATTAGTTCTCTGGGACCAGGAATACCAATGACTGCCATTTATGAATGGACATATTCAAATTGTAAGAAAAGCTAGATAAACGTAAAATATTTTATATATATGTATATATCTTAATATTGTACTTACAGCCCAAGTGACGTTAAAAAAAGTCATTGACTGGGAGAACAATGAGTCATTACGTTCCAAATTGAAGTCAGTTGCAATTCCAACCGTTATAATTGATACAATACCAATAGCGAGTGGTTTTACTGCTAAGGCTTTAATGCAGTTGCCACCAAATTTGGACCGTAGTGGTAAAACAAAATACCCGATGCTTGTAGATGTATATGGAGGTCCTGATTCACATTCGGTAAATATAACAAAAAGACAATCGCATTTATAAATAAAAAAATTTAAATTTAAATTATAAATATAACGTTAGAGATTAATGATTTTATAGCTTTTAATTTATTTTTATACTAAATTTAAGAAAATAAAAGTTTTTTAAATAAACAGCAATTTATTAATAACTTTGTTTAGGTCGTTAATAAATGGATTTTAGATTGGGGTACTTATTTATCATCAAGTCATTCTGTGATTTATGTAAAAATAGATGGACGTGGCACAAATCTTCGTGGCGATAAATTATTGCATTCCATTTACCAGAAGCTAGGTACTGTTGAAATTACGGATCAAATTGATGTAACTAAGTATGTCCACACACACATGCATTTTTGTTTTCTGTTTTTTTGTTATCTATATTATTTATTGTTCCAGAAAATTGCAAGCTAAATATTCTTTTATTGATGCTAATCATACTGGTATTTGGGGTTGGAGTTACGGTGGTTACGCTGCTGCTATGGCACTAGCGAACGATGATAGTCTTGCTTTCAGATGCGCTGCATCGATTGCACCTGTTACAGATTGGGCGTACTATGGTATGTTCCACTTATATGAAATTTATTCATAATATTATAATTTGATTTCCAGATTCTATATATACGGAACGTTACATGAGATTACCTAATACAAATGAAGCTGGTTATATGAACGCTAGGTTAAGCACACGTGCTCAGAAACTAAGAGGGAAAAAATTCCTATTAGTCCATGGTACCTTAGATGATAATGTACATTATCAACAAGCAATGATTTTAGCCAAAAATCTAGAACGTTATGATATATTATTTAAACAAATTGTAAGTAATTTCAAAAAACATATTATATATAACAGGCGTGGCCAACTAACACGACATTAATACATAAGTATTCATTGCCAGTACACAAATATAGTAGAAACGTGAATGTCATGATTATTTAAAAAAAATGTTGTCTATACTTATTATGTAATATATTTTAGAAATTATGAATCATTTATATAAATCATTTAATTAAAATCATGATTTAATTTTTTTTTTTTGTTTGATAGAGTTATCCAGATGAAGATCATGGCTTATCAGGCGTACGTCCACACTTATACCACTCATTGGATCGATTCTTTGGCGATTGCTTTGACAATAAAAATATGAATGGCTCCAAATAGTAATTATTTAGACAGAGAAAGCAACATTCACCAAAAACAACTACGCTTTATCAAAAATAAAAACGTATTGTACTTGAGTACTTTATCCGATTATCTAAAATGTAGGCGTGATCAATTATTTGTAATATGTTGAAATCAAAAATTATAAAGAATTTAGCTTTTTAGCGTATGCAGGTCCAAACCCAGGAACTTTAAAACAATAATAGAACGTTTTTATATATTGTAGCATTTAAAATAGTTAAAATTAATTTTAAAGAAAACTAAAATCAAAATCAAAAATCTATATCAAATAAAAATTATCATATTAATGATACTTGATAAACGGTATCGAAAATATGTTTCGAGTTGATATTCTGTAGTTTCATATTGCGTCTAGTATACTTAATTGAATTATTTTTTAAAACGTATTATTACTTCAGTACGAAGTCAGCTAAAGCAAAACAAATGATTATTTACAATTATTAGAGTAAGTCAAGAAACCGAAACATTCATAGATGCTTCCACATAGATGTAGCGGGTTAGTTAAGCTTAAATACAAAAATTGTGCCAAATTTTGCATTTTGATTTATCGTAGAAAATCTGCCGAAATTCGATTTTTCAAAACAAAATAGAGACTTAATTACAATTAAAATCGTAGTAAGCACTGTTGAGCATTTAAATATGTATAAATTATATTTTTATATATTTTCTTTTAACATTTGTAAATACTGACTTTTGTTGTAAGTAATTTATTTAAATTTTACAATTTCAATATTAGGAAAATAAATAATATAATTAAATTTATTAAACTATTATAAAATTGTTTCAATTCACGTAATCATTCCTTCGTCCTAAGTGTATAGTTTGGAGGAAGTAGGCGTGAGACACAGAATCTTTAATCAACTCACAATTAACTACTTTCAAGATCTATATATTGTATTTTCTCTTATTAAATTTACTGTGTCTCGCGATGTGTGGCATCCTGTACACTCTTGTTAATACCACGTATTGTCCAACAGAGTAGAAAGTAGAGTTATTTTTCGATACAAGTGATAACTACTCTAATATACATACACTTATACTCCGATTCACCAATGCCCCGATTAGATTTGATTCGAATTACGTTGCCAAAAAAAATATAATAAGTTTTGGTTTCGAATTGCATCGATAGTGTCTCGATTCGTGTCCTTTTTTAATACATGCGTACAGAGGGGATTCCCATTTTATTTCTTGTCGATCATATTTATTGTAAGAGGGCTTACATGTATTAAGTTTTAAGTTAAAAGGAATCAGTTTACAATTGTGTGATAAAGTGGAAAGGCAAATTTCTCCTTTATAAGGTATTGAAATGAGTCGAAAGCGAAAATCAATTCCCTTCGAAAAAAAGTTAGATATTTTAAAACATTTCAACATTTCGTGATGAGGGCAAGATAAAAAACTATGGAAAAGCTGCCACACATTTGCAAGCCAAACAAGTTACAAAAACTAGAAGTCCATTAATTATAAAAATGGAGTTCCTTCTATCCATTTGAAAAGCAAATCAGAATGCCATTGAGCCAAATGTTAATTCAGAATAGGGCTCTGTCAATATTCAATTAGTTAAAACGTAATTCTACATCAAGTGGTCAAAAACCAGATTATTTATGAAATTTATATATGTAGAGAAATGTGATTCGATTTGCGTCGCATTTTATCGGTTGCAATTGACGACGCAAATGGGGGTATTAGTGTAATACCAAATAACTCTGGGTAAATATTTATTATTGTCAAATTTATGAAAATCAAATTATCCAAATAGTGCAATATCTTTAACATTTTCTTGCATTCGGCATTTTCTATTTATTTATTCCTTTTTGTTTAAATGATTTTAAACAATTTATTAATAAGATTTTTATTATACTTGATAATTTGTGTTCGTAAAATAATGAAAAAAGACTCGCTAGAATGTTAAAACACTTATGAAAAGAAAGAATCCATCGCTCAAATTAATTTGAAGCTTTGAATACGAAAATACTTTTTGCTTTGGTTGACCTATTATCAAAAAAGCCGTTGTAGTAATAGATTGGGTGCGAGAAGAGTGACAAATAAACAAGTATGATATAGCTTATCGCAGAATAAACATTTAGAAATTTTATTACTATATTATCAGACAGCCAAACTAAAATCCAAACTTTTAATTGAGCCATTATACCTTTCTATATAGCCGAATAAAGCAAAGAAATTTTAAGCATTCTAGGTAAACAGCATAACTTTTGCATGATTCGAGCTCTGAGATATTGAAACAAAATGTTATCGAAAAAACTGATGAACTGCAGAAGAAAGGTTCTGCTATGCAAGAGAGTCTTGCACAACCATTTATTGTACTATTTAATGTAGTTAAATGAGCCAAAGCTTCCAACATATAAGACTAATAGGACACTGTATTTCCATGTCAAGTAAGCATTATAGCTGATAAATAAAAATAGACTGACAACAGTGTTTACTAGTTTCTAATCTATTAGAGAGCAGGCGAGCAGAGTGGGAACTGCTTCCAATATTTACTATCACAATTGCGAGCAGATATAGGAAAAGAAAACTATTTCCCATTATCTTCTTACAAAACCAAAATTTTGTTTTACTTTTCTGAAAAATTGACATTTCTTAGATATTAGGGGTATTCACTCTCTCTTGCAAACTCAATGCAAGGTGCACGAAATGCACAGATTGTACGAGAATGCAAATAACAACAACAAAATACACGCACAAAATTTCGTGCAATTGCGTGCAATCTTCCAATACTAAACCCTATGTATATTTGCTTGCAACAAACCAGAAATGGGGGAAATCAGCTGTTTTGTCATTTGTTGCTTCTCATTTTTAAATTTGAATTGACTGTTAGTAAAATTTCGAGATATGTTAATCTATGGCTATGCTATATACATGCGTTTCGTTCAATAATTTAAATCGATGTGACCATTAATTAAGTTTTCACAAATATAATATTATATACATATACATTTGTGAATTAATTTATCTATTTATCAATTTCAGCGAAACTTACGAAAATTTGTTCACATTTTGAACTATTGAATGAAGTGTTTGGACGCATGTCTAATTTTGTACGGAAACATTGCCATAGCCACCAACTAGTTCTGCGCTAGGCAACGAAGTTTTTTTTATTGAATCGTCTGCAGACAACACATCATCCAGCTCTGCACCGAAAGTCGTGCGTTCT